GGTGTGTGTGTGTGTGTGTGTGTGTGTGTGTGTGTGTGTTTGGTCTCCTTGTTGCAAAGTTATGTCACACAGTCCTGCTGGATCAGTGAAGCTTTCTGATGTTTAACTTCTAGCGTAGTCATGTTCTTGAATCTAAAATAAGCTTATCACCCAATGACATACAATTGGATACTGCATTTTTATGCATCTGCCACTTATATGTTTCATTGGGGAGTTTAACTCATTTATATGTGAATTCTTGATCCATACATATATATCATTGCTCTTTTACTTTTATTGGTATCAGTATAAGAATTCAGCTTCTTCCCATGTTACTGGCTTTGTACTTCATTTTGTGTGTGTGTGTGTGTGTGTGTGTGTGTGATGGGCTTTGATATAGATATTATCTCTGTCAGTAACATGACTTATGAAATACACACACACACACACATTGCAATAGTAGCACCCTGCAGAGTTATATTTCCCACTGAATTGTGTGCTTTCCTGTGTTCTTGAAGCACTGTGCAGCATCCCATCGCTGGAAGAAGTTCTCTTAGAAGATGGGTCTAATAGTGGTGAAGTTTCTTAGACACTGTTTGACTAAGAAAATATCCCACTTTCATTTCAAAGGGACACATTTGTCCAGTATTGTGGTCTTGTTGGAAACTTTTCTTCCAGCCTTTTCCATACATCACTCTCCTTCCTTTTGGCCTACAGTTTCTGCTAAAAAGTCTGTTCAGTCTTTAATAGCAGCACCCTGATTTAACTTTACAAAACATGAGTATTAAAACTAGCTGTGGTTAAGCTGTGTTCATGGAGACACAATTTAAGCAGCTATACACTGTGGCGTTGAGAGCATATCATGCAGAGAGAAATGGAAGTATAGGGTGAACGCATGCAGTTAAAGCGGGGTGCTGTAGTCTTAGATCATTCCCTCATAAGTCACTTTACACCTCATGCTTCCAAAATTCTTTGTCTGACCTTTGACAAGTTAATGAGCACAGGATCCACTGCATCTCTTTTATGTCCTTGGGGCTTCCTGACACTGGAGGCTGATTTCTTTCTGAGTTTGGCTGATTTTCAGATATCATTTATTTAACTGAACTTTCTATTTGCTTTTCCTCCTTCTTTTAGAACTCCCATAGCACAGAGGGTTGGTTCTGTAGGTAGCTTTACTCATTGGTCCTTTGGACAATTGTTTAATCATCACCTGTCTTTCTTTGAGTTCCCAAACCTTTCTTCTAGTTGATTTAGTCTGCGGCTGAAACTGTGCTCAGTGTTAAACACACTTAGCTGTTGCTTTGTTCTCCAGCATTCCAATACGCCCCCCCCAAAAAATACCCTGTAGGCCCTACATGCTGTCAGAAACAGGTAAATCTCAAGAAACTAAATCAGACTGCAGCTAGCAAACTGGTGGCTAAATGGGTAGCCCATGTTTTCCCAAGGAAATGCTGTAGGCTTGCTTTCTCCTGACACAAGTCAGCCATTTGAGAGGCCGGTAAAACTGTGCTTCAAAGTAAAGAATCAGGATACAATACTAACCGCAATTTAGAATTCTAGAGCTGTTGTCACAAATCCATATTTACAAGACACTGAGTTCTGGATTCAGTAAATCTGGTAAAAGTCAGACACACGCTTATTAAAAGTTGCAAGAATGGCTTGTTGTACCCTCTAGTTTTGAGAAACAGCTGATATTTGTTGAAGGCCGGGCCTTAAGGTTATAAAGATTTCTGTTATTGTTGAAATTACAATAATTCCACAAAGAAGAAAGAGCCATTGCTGTTGCCCAGGTCAGATCTGTTACCTAAGTCATTGAAGACATCAGCCATTTCACCACATGGCTAAAGTGTGACATGGTGCAGCCAGCAGCTGCACAGCTGTGTCGGACCTATAAAAGGGTCAGAGTCCCACAGTTTACAGAGGGAGGTGGCGGTTGCTCTAAACCAAGAAGCCAGTGTTCTGAGTAAAGAGAGCATTGCAAGTTTATAACATAAACTCCACGGACAGTTTTAATACTGCGTTTTAATGCTGCTCTTTAATCTGCCAGTGATGATATTTTCCAGGGCTGCTTGGCATGGAGGCTGAGGCATGGCACCAAAACCCCTCATTGGTGAAATAGTCACACTTGTGACAAGCTTTCAAAGAAGCAGTGTGTGTGTGTGTGTGTGTGTGTGTGTGTGTGTGTGTGTTGTGCATTCATGGATAGTCAATGGTGTGTATGTATGCACAAGTCGGTGGAGGCCTGCATACAACCTTGGCTGTTACTGCTTAGATGTAAGCGTTACTGCTCCGAGGGGAAAGGTTCCCCCAATGAAGTGCTACTCCTCTGAAAGGATAGGTACCCTGGCAAGGCACCTTTGAGATCCAGGGACATTTTATTCCCTATACATTAAGTGTAAACCAACAAACCATTATAAATTTTGTTTTACATATTTATGGGCCATTTTTAAATAGAGAGAAATGAATTTTCTTTATATCTACCCAAATGTGTGCCTTTCAAAAAATCATCATTTCTTCCTTCCTGAAGATAGGAGTTTCCATATAGCTTATTTTACATTTATCTAAAATAAAACCCACTTTAGCATTTCTTGTGGGCAAAGTTTCATAGCTCATGGCTGTTTTTAAGGTGCCATGGGTGAGACTGCTTTTCAACTTCATTCCTAGGAAACTTTTCTCAGTGGGTGTAGAGTTCTGAATAGATGTTTTGAGTGTTTAGTATATAAAGCTTTTCCGTCTTCATCTGGGTTTCTTAATTTTGATGTATCAGACATATTTTGGCTTTTATTGCTTCATGCAAGCAATATGATTAATTTTCTGAGATATTTTCTTATTGCCTAGCATTCAGTAATTTGGTAACTAGTAGAGATTTCAAATCACTAGATTCTAAACTAGATTCCTCTCCTCCTCCCCCTTTACCAGCTCTTATGGAACCATCCATCTCTACATAAATATATTAAGACATACTTACACTCACAGTGGAAGTCACCTGAGACATTTTTCTGAAAGTCTGTGTTTATGCAGTATAACTGTGAACAATTTCAATGCAATTATCAATTCATACACCATAAAGATGTGTTCTATTTATTTTCTCTTAGTGCCTGGCACTTTAAAAATAGTAGCCCTTCCTGTGGTTTGCTTTTGTTCTGCGTAAACTTGTCCATTCATGTGGTGTTGGCTTCCACTGCTTTCCTCAGTCAGGAATGAAATTGTTCGCTCATGGACATTTTCCACCAGCAAAGGGAATGCAGAGCATCTGATGGAACTTTCTGTGATTTATTGCCATGGTTCCACAGCAGCTCACCCTCAGTTTTCATATGCCTTCTTTTGCCATTGCAGTATTTCAGCTGTGTAATGCTGTTTCCCATTTCTCCCACCATTTCTTTAATCACATAATCTCATCTGCTGTGTTTTCCAGCATCTTCTTACAAAACTCTACCAACTTGTGACTTCTATCCCCATCCCCATTTCTAGAATGCATTGTTCTCCTCCAAACCTTTGCCTCTAACACCTATGGGTTTGCCAAATTTGAGTAGTGGTACAGGGTGCTATTTAAAATGTGTTTGTTTATTGTCACAGTTCAGTATCCCTGGCTTTTAAGGAGTTAGAAATTAGTGGAAACATGCTAACACATTTCAAATTCTTAAAGGACAACTCCAAACTGCAAAGCACATGCCCCAAGCAAAATCTTAATAGTAATGGCAAAAATACTGTGAACATTAACAGAGGATTATGCATTCACGTAACATTTTTTTAATAAAGGAAATCCATCCATTTTCATTCACGTATTGGTGTGCAGGATTTCTTAGACAACATAAATAGGCAAACTTCCTTTTGGAGAGCTAGGTTAACAGGTCAGGGCCATCCAGTTGGGCCCTATTCCACTTCATAGTTCTTATTCTATATGGCCTTCTAATGTGGTTATTATAAAATGCCTGGAGTTGGGTGGGGTCTTACACAAAAAAGATGTTTATTTAGCTGACACTTTGAGAGGTTGAATGTTATAGATCACGTGACCATATCTGCTTGCCTTCTAGTAAGGGCCCCCTTAGGCTGTATCATCCTTCAAAAAGCAGAAAGAGGTATGTATGTTCAGGAGAAGCCAAGAACAGCAACTCATTCCCTCAAGAATGACCTGGAGTGTGAAGGGACTATAAATTCTTACTAATCCTTTCCAAGTGTGGCCACCCCAATGGCTGAACTATTTTCTGGCAGACTCTTGCCTCTGTTGTCACCTCAACACTGTACACTGGAAGTCAAGCATCCAGCACAGGCAGTTTGGAGGATGACACACTCAAACCCCAACCAATCCTTGTCCCTTTCCTATTGATGATACTTCACCTTATTGAGGGATGTTTTGTGGTTCTAGATTAAAGGCAACACCAAATATGAGTGCTCCAGCTTGTGGCCAGCACACTGTTCCTCACACAGTCCCTGTGCCTTGTGCTTCAGGTGACTCCTCACATTCCTGTTCAGGCTGGTTGTTCTATCTGTCTTTGATCTTGGTGGCAATTCCAGGGCTCTGCTCCAGTCCAGCTGTTCTGTGTATCACTCTTGTGGTTCCTATGGCTCCTCAAAAGTTTATCCCTAGTCTTCTGTTTCTACAGCTGTCCAACAAGGACATGGGCTAACCTGTTTCCCTGTTCTGTACTTTGACACTTATACATTTGTTTGCCTCTTTAGTGTGGAGTTAAGAGAAAGGACATATGAGTAAATGTGTTTTCTGTCAGGCTCCTTCTTTTGGAGTTTACACTTGAAATCAACACAACAAAGACCCAAGTCATTGTGCTAGAGAGATGGCCACTGTAGATAAGAGTACTCTACTATTCCAGAGAAGCTGGAGTTCAATTCCCAGTACCCACACAGCAGCTCACAACTGTCTAACTCCAGTTCTGAAAAATCTGGTGCCTTCTTCTAGGCTCTGTGGGCAGCAAAAACAAACAAGGTGCACAGACATACATGCAGGCAAAACACTCACACACATAAAATAAAATAATAAAAAAATGTGAAACACCCAAATTACATATTACTAAAGATGATTTTATTGAGTTACAAGATAGAACATGTAAAAACAAACTGAGTAAAAATTTTATTATTCATTGAAAAGTATAATATTCACATATTAGAAAGCATTTTAAGTGATTACCTGTTAACTACTTATGTATTATTTAAAATCTTCACTATTAAGGCAAGCATTTAGTTATGCTGTGAATCTTCAAATTGAAAAAAAGCAGCTAAAGTTAATATGAGATGAAGCAAATTTAAGCCTTATTAAACTCAAGGAACTTTTGCCTTTGAAAGGAATGTAGTACATGCTGGATACTACTTCCCCACCTCTGCTTCAGAGTAAATTATCACCTTTCCTACAGTCTCAGAGTCATGGGATAATACTGTGGACTGATTGGCTTTATTTCCCAAATGTAACCAGAAAACACTGTATTTTGAATTGTGGTCTCCAGAAGGAGACCACATGCTACGCAGTAGGACACCTTTTGGTGATCCTGGGCAGCAACTGTGGGCAGTATCCCCAAGTCAGCCTCATGAGCATAAGGTGAACTTCTCATATCTCATTGCTCACTGTGCTGAGAAGTACTAGCCTTGAAAGCTCAGGTATAGCAAATGTACTCTTCATGTATGATACTTTCAATTTATGATTGATTGATGAAAGGAGCCCTCCTTGGATGTCAATCAAGAAGCTCATGTGTCTTCCTTCATCTTTCCCAGGAAGGAATCAAAGTCCTATAAATAGAATCTTAAAGTTTAAGCTCCTCTACCATTATCTGATTATAAATTTCTTTGGTCAATGGAACATAAGATTTTTTCAAGTTATCCATGAAGTAAAGTGGGTCAGAAATCTTCAGTGGATGAAATCCTTCTTCCACCAATTGCATCTTCTGTAGCTTGAAAGTCCCTGTTGTTTCCATCTTATCCTAGGAAACAATTACAAATCTGAGTGGAACAAGTGATTAATATTCATGGAGGCTGCTTTGCATGGTTACAGCGTTCAACAGCATAGGCCACATCTTCTTGTCATACTTTGTATCTACTTAACTTCTTTATATTAATCTAATATTAGAAATAGAAAACTTTCATTCATCTGTAAACTTTATTGAAATACTAGCTTATTGAATATACAATAATTATTAATATAATCAATAAAATAAACATGTTTGAAATACACATTCTACCTCATATCAACACCAAAACAATAGAATGAATGTTCAATGCTGTAATAAGAGAGTTATAAAAGACAAAACTTATGATAGAAGTTTTCTCAGGAGGTTCTGGTAAGTTGAGTCTCTGGTGTCTTCAACAAAAGACAGAGTTAGCTTTAATTCAGCCATATTGAGTGCTAGAACATTTAAAAATTTTTGTCATGGGCAAAACTACCCTGTTAGGAATGTGACTTAAATTTTTTTCACAAATCAGTTGTTTTATTGATGTGGACAGAAGTAAGTTTTAGTTCTGTATTTTCTCAGATTACTTATTACTATAATTAGTTTGTTGTATGTATTTTTTTGAGACAGGGTTTCACTATGCAGCCCTTCCTAGCCTTGAACTCATTATATAGACCAGGTTGGCCTTGAACTCTGAGAGCCACCTGCACCTGTTTCAGACCCTCGAGCATTAGGATTAAAGGTAATTGCCACCAACTCCTGCTGCATAAATATTTTTGAGATCTGAGTATAATGCTTTATTTAAATGTTAGACTTTCTGTTAATTGTAGCAAATGAAATAATAATCATAGCTATAATTACCAGTGTTTTGTTTGGAAATTAATGACATTAAAAGATTTTTTTAAACACTTATGATGCTGACCTAGTCTTCAATAGTTCAATGCTAAAATATGGCTTCTGCATCTGTGAGTAAATTATAAGTTATTCTAGGATTAAAGGCTTAAAATATTACTTTCTAAATCTATGTTCTATTCCGTGAAGATATATTTCCCATGGGATAACAGAAGGGAGGTTGGGGAGAGTGGGAGTGGCTATAAAAGGACAAGGTAGAACTATTGGCTTCTTCCTTCCCTTGGAAGCTTCATGGCAACTTCTAGTATCATAAAAGCTAACCCTAGAGAGGAGCCTTTTAGGCTAGATCCAGCTCAGATCCTCTGGCTACTGCGTCTGAAATATACATGTCTAAAGTCATAAGGATTTATCTACAAACTTTGAGAGGCAAGCAAGGACAAAACCAATCATCTACCATGTTTTAGGACTCTTGGGTTCCCTGACCAACAACTAGTAAGGGGACTATGAACTAAAACAAGGACCAGCATGGCACAATAACCCTAAGAGTGCAATAAGGACACTCATATCTTAGTGGTAACCAAGGGCTCTCTAAATGGATTTAAGAGCTGCTCAATAAGAAGAAAACCATGTCTTGTACTAGAAAGGTATCCAACTACCCTAGAGAGTGCAACTAGCTAGTGAGGTCATGAAAGAGTCTTTATCAAAAAACAAATGAGCTCAGGATTTCCCATAATACAAGGGTGGGAAGAGTGAGCCTAAGGACTATAAAAGGGGTGGGGGAAAACCTGCTTAAAGACAAATGGCTCCAGGTTCTGTAAACAACCTGCAAACACCTCCAGGATGACCCAGAAAGACCTGATTTTAGGCAAATCTCTCCACTGTCTTCGGAGGATATTTGCAAGATACAGTTTTAGCTTGCCACCTCAGAGAGAGTAAAACTTTGTTCAGAGGTCCTGCCTGAGGAGGCTAAGAGCAACTCTACAGGAAGGACAAAGACAAACCTAGCATTTCCTCATTCTTCCTTCTGACACAGCTCAAGTCTAACATTAAATAGCATCAACTCCACATCTTTCTGCTTTTTATTATTAAAATTTACTAATAAAAATAAAATTGACATGTTAACTAAAGGAGACATTTTGCTACTGATCCACCTCTTGGTTCTGGCTCTTATAATTGACAATAAATTTTGAAGCTGTAAAATTACCTGAATTCTTAAAAATCGTGGACAGGCATAAGCTGGTAGAGATGTTACAACTTGGTCATACATTTTTTCTAAGTCTAAAGACTTATTTGGTTTTAGAATAATAGAAGTCATCCCTGCTTTTCCTTCATAACCTGGGGAAAGGGTTGAAATAAAATCAATGTATTATTATGTGAATTTTCAAAATCAGTCCTGTCACTCCCTCACTGCTACAGAGACATTCAATATGTTGCAGAGGTAACAGTGTGGCAGTATCATAAATTGAGTCTGTGTCTTTCCCTGACATAAGATTTAATCACTAGAAGTAACTGAACAAGAGGGAACACCACACTTTGACCCTTGACTGTACCTACAGAAATGAAACAGGTGGGATGGAAAACACAATAAATTATATATAATTTGCATCCCATCAACACAAATATTAAGAAAGAAAATATTTATTTTGAGGTAACTATAGCCCTGCAAAAATGTACATTTCAATCATATGAAAAAATAAAGGAAATATTTGAAGTTAAGAAAACTAGAAATCGGTATTTTGACTACGGCACATTGCTTACCGCCTACCATGCCATCTGCAGACCACAGAGAGCTGATGCATCTCTCCAGTCATCAGGGACAATTTCTGAATCTGTCCCCTCCCTCCTCTGCTGCATCCCTGGCCTCCCTTCCAGCCACAGGATAGCAGGAAACACGGTTATTCGTATAATAGGACACACTTCAATCACATTTAAAGTAGAGCATATTCCTGCTTAGTAGAGCATAACAAGAAAGCTGAGATGATTACAAAGATCAGCTTGAACAATTTTCAAGCAGTAAGTCCCTGGCTAGATTTTCTAGCTTCTACCTAAAAACACAGAAAAACATGGAAATTCCTCTGTACCCTTCTTCTAGGGTGTCCATAAAATTTCTTGGTTTACTCAAAGGCCTGCTTGCCAATGCAAAATGAAAACATTTTAAAATATTAATTTTAATATGCAGAAATTTAAATATTGATTAAGAAAGTAGTAAGACCTGAAGAGGACATGCATCTTCTCTTCTACAATTCTCAAGGTCATCAATATCCACATACCGGGCACAGGCACACCATACACATTTGCTTCCTGTATGAAGTCCAACCTCCCGATCACATCAGCGACCTCTGTGGTTGCAACATTTTCTCCTTTCCACCTGAAAGACAGACATTTCCAACTGATAGCACAAGCATTTGAAGAGCATGCTCCCACTTAGGGTTTTAGTGACTTGCATTTGGCTCTGTGAAGCAGCCTCTAGCGGCCAAAACAACTAGTTTCCGAGTAAAAGCCATGTCTACAAAAGCATTTTGTTCAGAGTTCATTAAAGTCAGCAGCTGTGGCTTGTTAAAATAACTTAGAGTTTTTATTGGTATAAATTGTTCGCCGTTAAATATTTTTAAAAGAGCCATAAAAATAAATGACGATAGAGAGGATATATCCGTACAAAATCACTACTCGGTGCAATAATAAAAATTAAGTTTAAAACTGTTTCTTTTGTAGTAGTAGTTGAAAGAAATACTACAATTATCTCAGTATCTTAATTCATTTTAATCTCTAGGTTTTGACTCCTCCACTTCTGTTATTTTAATGAAGACAATTCTAAAGATGAGAATTTGATATACTACTGATTTATTCCTTATTTGTCGTCACTCAAGCCCTTGTTAAATGCTTACTTTATGCTATTGACTAGTCTATAGTCATTGAATAACAAAGTAAAATAAATTAGAAAATAAAATGTAAAAACAGGAGGTAGCAGTTTCAGTTTCAAAATCTTTTCATTACATCATGAATAATCTCACGACTGGTGAGACAGCTCAGTGAGTGGAGGTGCTTGTCACCAACCCAGAGTTCAATCCCTGAAACAGACATGGTGGGAGGAGAGAAACAACCCCTCAACGTCACATGCCCACCAACACTAAATGGGGAAGTATGAGATAAGAAATGAATGAATGAATGAATGACTTTATAGCATTCCTATTTAATCCTAACTCTCAGTTTCACAGAGTACTTCTCTTTTATGCTAATACTAGCTTCACATGTAGATTCTGCTTTTATTCCCACTGATTTCATACAGACTGATTAGGTTTTTTTTTGTTTGTTTGTTTTAAAAAAACAATTATGGAGTTTGACATCAGGACTCAACTCATAGTTTGTTCTGTAAAGAGAAGGCAAGTGAATCTTTGCGTGGGGAGTCATTGTGGAGATGAAAGGACTGTGTCCTGAAATAACAGAAGCAAAGGCTCCCCACTTCCCACAGGAGGGGTTCACAGGCACCAGGGCCAGTGGACATCCAACCTCACTCCTACCTGAATGTGTCTCCAATACGGTCCCAAAAATAAAGGAAGTTCTCATGATCTTGGACCATTAGGTCTCCTGTGTTGAAGTAAACATCTCCCTTCTTAAAAACATCAAAAAGCAGCTTGCTTTTTGTGTGCTTGTAAGAACCAGCATAGCCAAAGAACGGATTCTTCGTATGTACACGAGAAATGAGAAGTCCAGGTTCTCCTGCAAGAGAAAGGGCCATTTTTGCAGCCATCTGATCTGACAATTATCATTACAGACACTGCACATGTACCTATGTTATATCAGAGAAACCCAGCTATTACAGGTTCTTATCTTCCTTTGTGCTTGTTTCCATCCTACTTAATGACATTTATTCTTTGTGCCTACATCTAGAATATCCTTTCACAAACAGCTTTGCAAAAATCAATGGCAAAAGAAATATATGCAAAGGTAATGTGAATTTAAATTCTTTTATACTCTGGCTTGATAGACCAAAGGTAATGTCTCTTGTAATTGCACAGATTTTTTGCTCAAGTAATACTGAGAACGAATAACTCCATAATTTTAACAAGCTAATAATAGCAACACATATTAGTGACCATGCCCACTCAGCAATTATAATTGTATTTAATTTGATTAACAATTGTTTGAAACTGGTATTACAATTCTTTTTTTTTATTATTAGTTCAAATTAGGAACAAGATTGCTTCACATTTCAATCCCTTGGCATTACAATTCTTATTTCACTGAAAAAAAAAAGAACTAATGTCCAGCTTCAAAATCAGAAAAAGAAATAGATGTAGAACTCAAAATGAAGCCTTTACAATTTTGAATCAAAGAGTCTGGGAAGTAGGTTGACCCAATTAAGACAGTAGTAGAGTGTTTAGTCCTCTAGGATGTTATTCTGGAAACACTTGACAGGGAAAGGGAGGACATTAGAAAGATCTCCTATCTCATGACCCTTATTAGTGCCACTCACGCTTGGACACTTATCTGAAATCATTATTCCAGTTAAGCCTATTTAGTCAAAGTTGTGCTTGACCATCTGCAAGACAAGATTACATTTGAAATAAAGGAAAGCAGTTTCCGCAGAAGGCCATTGTTTCCTTTTATCTGAATTAGCTGCAGTGGTGGGATGAAGCATTCATAGGGCTCTCGGCAAGGGCTGCGCCATACCTCTCTGGATAAAGATGCATGCTCTCCTCCCACAGAGCCCCACTGAGTCTTTCTCATCATTTCCATTCCCACTAGCACCACCCCTATCGGCATCTTCACCACAGTCATACTGCACACTCTATCTTAGCATCACTGTTCTTAGAGCATTGCCTGTCTATCCATCCCCTTCTCATCACAAACCTCTAAGAAAGGTCTTGGTTACATTTTCATTTTACCAATGCAGAAAGGGAGGCAGACGAAGTAATGTGCCCAATGTCATGCAGCCGTAGAAGTCATACATACACAGGTAGAAGTTAGAGTGTACATTTTAGGACAAGGTGTACTTTCCTCCAAAGCCTCACATACATTGTGTAGTCTGTCAGGCTACATTTAATATTCTAGAATTTTAAAAAAGTCTTATCTTCCTCAAAGTTTATACTATTTGTTTCTACTTCTGAGAATGTAGATATTAGTCCTTTTTTTTTTTCCTCTGCAAATTACTATAAATGCTTACATAGGTCATGGTGTATTCATGTCTTTCCTGATGAGGCAAAATTTACATAATGATACAATGTTATAATATAGAGTAAAATGCAATAGCTCATCATGCAGATTCCAAAATGGAGTCAGTCAGCATTTTTAGAAATGCTGAAATTACATAAACACAATCCCAAGGCTCAAGTTCCAGTTTCCGATCTCATGGTGATTATGAACAAACATGCTACAAAGGACCTCAGGTTCTCCAAATCTTCCACAGTTGATCTTTTACTCTTGGACAGTGTCTGTGGCATTGAATTAAGAGGCATTTGAAAATATTTATTTTATTATTTTTAGTGTGTGTGTGTGTGTGTGTGTGTGTGTGTGTGTGAGAGCCAGTGCAATAGAGTGCAGGTGCTCTCACAGGCCAGATGCTCAGATCTCCTAGAGTTGGAGTTACAGGCATCTGTGATCTGCCTGACAGGGGCTGGAAATTGAACTCAAGTCCTCTGCAAGAGCAATGCCTCTGTTTGTGTCATTTCTCCAGCCACCAAGACACTGATTTTTTAAAGTAAATAATACTTTCTTTTGCAACGTCTCCAGTACCAGTAAGAGAAACAGAACAAGTACGACAGCAAAGCGGGTTTACAACTTGTATTATCACATTGAAGCATTGATCTAGGAAGTCTCCTCTGGTGCTGTGTGAGGCAGCCTGAGGTGCTGTCTTGTACTTGAATGTTGGTCACATCTACATAGATAGCACCTCTAAACAATTCTAAGTGCACATCTCCACAATCTATTTTTAATGATGACATAGAGGTAATTGAAACCTTTGTTTCCAGCAAAACTTCTAAACTGAGATGCTTAGATACTCTACCTTGAGAGAGGGATAAAATGGAGAAAAGAAGGAGGCAAGAGGCCACAAAGATTTGTACACACCATTTAATTGTCAACATGAGGCTCGTGAAATAAATAATGTCACTTCTGATTTACACAATGAGTCTCACATCAGCTAATCTGCCCACAATTTCTAAGTGTCAAAACCCAAACCTAAATCAAAAGTAGCCTGACCTCTGGTTGCACCTAGGATGACAAATTAATTTAATATTATTGGTAATATGTGATGTAGACATGTGTCCTGGTAACTGTGGGGGAACATTTGATCACACTATGAACCCTGAGGAGTTTGCACTTGCATTGATTAAATGCAATTAACCTTGGATCAGGAGGTTCAGTTAGCAACTAGCTGACAGGAAGTAATCATAGAACATCAGAGGGCACCTGGGAGAGATAGAAGGACATGGGAAATAGTAGCAAGGGATTTGGAATGGTGCAGCTTTTTCTGGTTTGGTGGAGAAGAAGCATGACTCTTCCCAAGATGCCAGCAAGGACAGAGGGTTAGCTATTTGCTGCTCAGATTCTCACCCAGCCCTTGAATCTTATTTATAAATAGAACGATAGAGATTTAGTTAAAGCTACCTTTAGTGGCTGTGACAAGCCCGGTCAGAACAGAATTCCCACCAGGCTGCAGTCTGAGCATCCAGGATGCTGCTAGAGATGCAGGCCCAGAACTGCAGAGTCACAATTGCTGGCTGAAATAGCATTAGGTTAAGGCCCAGCCACTGTGCCAAAATTAAAACAACAGCCTACAAACTTGATGTGTATAGAAAAATAAATAAAGCCAAAGGGATGCCACTGAACCATTTAACAAATTGGCACTTAAACGGCCTGATGAGGG